TTGTGTCCATTGGTTGTACTTATATGCATGTATACAAGTCCTTTGGTTGATCTCTTATCTCCCCCAGATCTCCCTACTCTCAAAAATTCTATTTTCATAGGACAGCTAGAGTGTCTAATTTAAAAATTTGTAAGAAAATTGATGCTTTTTAACACAGAAGAAATGAAGAAAAAAACAAAAACAAACCCCAACTCTACATTAGACTAGTTTATTATAGGAGCATTATAAAATACCTTTTAGGGATATGGCATTGTGAGATTTAAAACATTTTTTTTAACAGAGGGAACACCCCCCACTGGGGACGTGCCTGCAACCAATGTACATGCCCTTGACCGGAAATGAACCTGGGACCCTTCTGTCTGTAGGCCAAACCGATTAGGGCTGTAAGATCTTTTCTTAAGAAATGTGTAATCTGTTTGGGAAGACCCAACATTAACAGTTTAAACTCTTTAGAATACAAGTGAATTGCAGACGGAAATGCATATAAACATTCGGAAAGGCAATATAAAGTAACTGATAACTATCTACAAACAAAGCCAGCCTCAAACAAAAGCATGAGGAAGAGGCTTTAGGCTAAACTCTGAGTATTTTAATTGATTCTCTAGGTATGGTTACTTGTATTCCTATCCTTAATATGGATTCACACATTTCCTACGTGGATATTTTCTCCGATTTACTGACTTTGATATTCAATTTTCTCTTTGATATCTCTGCTTTAGATGTCCAATGGGTATCGCAAACTCACCTTGTTTCCAAACTTGCTTCAGTGGTCAGAGGCTGTATAAAACACACACATACACAGGCTGTCTAAATTTGTAGGTTTATTAGGGCTGGATGACATGGAATGATGTAGGCAGAAAAAAAAAAAAAAAGTAAAAATCTTACAAATGAATAATTTTTAAGCATGTAGACCTCCAGAATTTTTTAGTAAACTTGCAATTCCAGATGAGCACCATAGTAAACTTACTGACAGTCATTTACTATCTAGGAAAGGGAGAAGAGCCAAATCAAGTACAATAGAAATGAATTGTGGGAACTGGTAATTTTTTGATATAATGAAATAAAAACAAACTAAAAATCTAAAGAAGATAGGCAGAAGTCAATTTCCTAATTTTAGTAATCTATTTTAGAGGTATTGGACAAAGGACACACAGGACCTCTCAACTATTTTTGCAACTTCTTGTGAGTCTACAGTTATTTTCAAATCAAAAGTAAAAGTATAAATAGTAAACCTAGATAAGGAATTTTTAGAAAGAATATTTGTTACATCTAAAACAAATATACACAGTTGTAAGGAGTTAACCAAAATTTAAAAAATGCTTTCAACACACACACACACACACACACACACTCTTTACAAATAAAAATATCGGGCTCTGAAAAGTGATAATTATTTTTAATATTTGAACCAACAATGTTTTTCAGAGATGTAAATAGAGGGAAACACAGTATTATGCTTGCAAAATACAACTTAATTTTGTGAAAACCATGAAAATGAGAGTTTGCTCTTAAAAAGGAAAATTTTTTGTTTCCTGACATCATCAAAGAAAAATGTGAAGGATCTGATATGAAAGGAACAAAAACGTACAAATCCTACTACCTCATTCCTTAGGACTGTATAAACACTTCCAGAATTTTCCTTTTCCTATTAATTTTTCCCTAAAGCAGCCAGTCCATAGAGACTCGGGGGCATACACATGTCAGAATATTCCACCAAGATATGGAACACATATTTTTGGCAGGAAGATCACTAAATGTGCAGGGAAAGATTGCTTGTGAAATAATTCAGAGTGATGCGTTTAGTCAGAATCCCCTTTCAATGACAAAATTTTAGCATCAGACCTCATAACATTGTTCGGAATGTTCAAAAGACACATGACTGTATAAGCTCTTAAAACAAGTGGAATAGTTTTTATGGTGCCAAATAGAAAGCAAGTATCCCATAAAGGGGGAAGTAAAACACAAAGAAGTCCCAAAATTGCTTCATGTATAGTCTATGTAAAAGTATATTTTCATAACAGTCTAAAAGCAAGGTAGAAATCTGCTTGGCTGGATACTTTGCTTAAATAAATACTAAAGTATAGCAACATGGTGTGAAGGGAATTAGGGCCAGAAGCTCCGAGTTCAAATTTTAGTTCTTCCATCTACTAGTTTTGTTAACTTAGGCAAGTCACAATCTCTCTGAATCACAATATCTTTGTTATTTAGATGGGAATAGGGCCCTAACTGGTTTGGCTCAGTGGATGGAGCTTCTGCCTGCAGACTCAAGGGTCCCAGGTTCCATTCCAGTCAAGGGCATGTACCTTGGTTGTGGGCACATCCCCAGTAGGGGGTATGCAGGAGGCAGCTGATTGATGTTTCTCTCTCATTTCATCGGTGTTTCTTAACTCTCTCTCCCTTCCTCTCTGTAAAAATCAATAAAGTATTAAAAAAAACAAAACAGCCGAAACCGGTTTGGCTCAATGGATAGAGGCTTGGGGACTGAAAGGTCCCCGGTTCGATTCCGGTCAAGGGCATGTACCTTGGTTGCGGGCATATCCCCAGTAGGGGGTGTGCAAGAGGCAGCTGATTGATGACTCTCTCTCATCGATGTTTCTAACTCTCTATCTCTCTCCCTTCCTCTCTGTACAAAATCAATAAAATATATTTAAAAAAAACAAAACAAAAAACTTATCCCCAGGTTCTATTTGGCAGGATTTAAAATAAAATAAAATAAAATGGGAATATGAATCCTCATATCTGAAGGTGAGTCCAGCACTGAAAGGGACAATATATTTAAGTGCTGTCACAATGCTGTGCACAAATCACAGGTACTCAATACATGTGAGCTCCCTCCCAGATTTCCCAGAAGACACAACAAAATATTTCTCTGTTAGTTTGGTCTGAGCCAAAACAAGTGGTTAAAGAGTAAAATAAAAAGGGCAAGAGAGTTTCATCATAATATTATCCAAGCAATCTTTGGATTAATTGTACAGTTATACAAACTGATATTTAATAAACATCATTGAGGCCCATTGATGTGGCTCAGTGGTTGAGCATCATCCTATGAACCAGGAGGTCATGGTTGGATTCGTCAGGGCACATGTCCGGGTTGCAGGCTTGGTCCCCAGTAGGGGGCGTGCAGGAAGCAGCCGTTTAATGATTCTTCTCTCTCATCAATGAAGTTTCTATCTTTCTCCCTCTCTCTTCCTCTCTGAAATCAATAAAAACATATAATAATAAATTTAAAAATATTAAAAAAGAAAAAAATCATTGAGTTTACTGATATTATTCAGGTAATGCATTATTATTACTTGAATAGGTACTCTTCTTGCAAATCGCCTTTTGTCTTTTAACTGATTTAGCAAAATATGTCATGCATCCTTTATTCAGAGCATAACACAGTATGTTCTTTTGGCAAGATTAATCTCTTGATTCCAGGTATTAGTTATTTTGCTCATGGATCTGAGAAAAATAGTGACATGGAAAGATAAACAGTGAAAGGTTAATGAAATTGCCAAAGCCGGTTTGGCTCAGTGGATAGAGCATCAGCCTGTGTGCGGACTGAAAGGTCCCCGGTTTGATTCCGGTCAAGGGCATGTACCTTGGTTGCGGGCACATCCCTAGTAGGGGGTGTGCAAGAGGCAGCTGATTGATGTTTCTCTCTCATCGATGTTTCTAACTCTCTATCCCTCTCTCTTCCTCTCAGTAAAAAATCAATGAAAAAAATAAATAAAAGGTTAATGAAATTGTCTTTCAAGGCTGAGGCTATCATGCAATGAAGCATGTGTTGATGTCTCCCTGTCTGGAGGTCCCTAATTCATGCCCTGAACTTCTATCAATGAAGTAGTCCAACCCCCTGTAAAATCTAAAGGGCGAGCAAACCTCCTGAAATTACAGAAGCACAGAAGCAACCCTTAGGCGGCTTTAGGGACAGGTTCTTAACATAGAATCCGTGGGCTTTTATTCAGGGGGTTCTAGAACCAACTGTGTATGCAAAGTTGTGTCTTAAGTGTATTTCCTTCTTTTTCTCAGGAGGCTGCTCAACTGCCACTTCCCTCTAGTGGTCTCGTCCAGCCGTTCTGTTGTGCCAAAGGGTATACAATCTCTCATCAGCGCTGTGTCATTTCCTGCAGGGCCTTACACAACCTGCCATTACCTTCTTTGCTTGTTTAAGTCAGTCTACCACACAGAGAGCAGGGTCCTGGTCTTCCTCCGGACCTCGGACCTTGTGGGTCTGCAGAGGTACTTGTGGGATGAATGACAGGTCTGTGTCCAGCAGATATCTAATGGACTCCATGTGCATTCCTCCTCCCCACTCCACACCATTCCTCTCGGGAAACAATTTTTATTTATTTTACTGATTTTTTTTTACAGAGAGGAAGGGAGAGGGATAGAGAGCTAGAAACATCCCCTACCGAGGATGTGCCCGCAGCCAAGGTACATGCCCTTGACCAAAATCGAACCTGGGAGGGACCCTTCAGAACGAAAGCCGAAGCTCTAACCACTGAGCTGTAAACCGATTTCGGCGGCATCGGGAAACAATTTTTAAAACCACTCGTTTTCATTTTGAAAATAAGGCTTCTCGCATTTCAACCACACCCACTCTCTCACCCCCGTTTCCTACCATCGGAACTGCCACCCCGGGCCACGTACCCAGGCCCATGAGGTCGGACAGTTTAGAGGCGACCAGGGCAGGTGCGGCCTTGAACAGATAACGCGCATCCGTTCCCATCCCGGGCCCTGGTTGAAGGCCCGGAGGACCCACCTCTAGGCCGCCCGGGCCTCGGCCTACGGTCCGGCGGGCGCATCCGCCACCTCCGTCCGGTGGGGTCCCCGCATCTCGCGAGGCGGAGGGGGGCGGGGTGGCCGGAGCCCCGCTCCCCCGGCGGCGGGGCGCTCGCCGCGGGACCACCGGCTGCACACGGGTTGGCCGCGATCGAGCCCGTCCGTCGCGCGCGCGCGCGCCGCCGCGGCCGCGGCCGCAACTACTTCCGGGTGAGCGGGGTCGCCGCCCCTGTGGCCCCGCCCCTCCGCCGCCTCCGCCTGCCGCTCGGGCCGCGGCTCCTCCCGGGGGCTGGTTCCCGCTGCCCGAGCCGCGGCGCCCCGGGGACACCGGCGTGACTGGCTGGCGGAGCGGCCGCCGGCTCCTGGAGCTGCCGTATCCAGCCCGGCCCGCCTGGCCGGGGACGTAGGACCGAGGTCGCCCTCCGCGCCCCTCGCCCTTTGCTCCCCGCTCTTCGCCCCGGCGGGCTCCGGCGGGCTCCCGGCGGGCGGGCGGGCGGGCCGCGCTCCGGCCCTTCCCGGGCGGCGCCGCAGCCACTGCCCGCGTCCAGCCACAGGTAAGGGCTGCTCTCCCCGCGGTCCGCGGGGCAGCGGGGATGGAGGGACCCCCTTTCCCGGCCTTCTTCAGCCCCGGGGTCCGCGCCGCCGCTGACCCCTGCTGGGGGCCGGGCTCCCCTGGAGCTGGCCGCGCCCCCGGGCGGGCTCCGGGGTCAGGGTCGCCCCCCGCCGCCCGCGGTCCCCGGCGTCTCGCCTGATGTCTAACGCGGACCCTGCGTCCTCCCGAGGGGAGGGTGTCCCTCCCTTGGAGCAGAGATGAGCTGGGCTGCTGTCCCTCTGTCTCGGGTGCTCCTGGCGCCTTCTTCCCCTTCCCGGACGCGGCACCCTCTTGGGTCTGTCCCAGCCTTGTCCACCCAGGGGACGGTGTCAGGCCGGTGGAGGGCGTACATTTATCTATCTATCTATCTATCTATCTATCTATCTATCTATCTATTTATTTTTGTAATGGCCTTTCCCACCCCCTTCCTCCTTGACCTGAACTGAAGTGCAGGCATAACTGGCGCTTGCTGGGAGTGTCCGGCTTCATGCTTGACTAATAGGGGGTGTTCTGCACACCCAGATTGTGAAGTTATGCTAGTCCAGCCCAGTCAGGCCTGCTGTTCCTGCCTCTGAAGATCCTGGAGGAAGCAGGAAGACCTAAGGAAACCCACCTTGTTTTCCTTCTTACGGGGGAGGGGGTCAAGCGGGAGTGAGCCGGGAGAGCGGAAAAGTTCAGGTGTTGGCTCTACTTGTTTCACTCTGGGAGATACAAATGTCAGGCTGCTGAGATGTGGCTCGCAGCCTGACATTTACCCTAAACCGTAACTAATTTGTAGCTCATTTTCTTTTGAGTTTCCATTTAATGACTCAGCAATTCTGCCAGAAATAGAAGAAAGAAAAAAAACCCTGTAGAGTAGGTGAGTTGACTAAAAGGTGTGTTGAGGATAACAGAGTGACCATTCCTTTATTTAAATCACAGATGGAAGGGAATGTGGATACAGGGATGGCATCAGAGAGGGAGAGGCACAAGGGATGGAAGGATGATTTTCTTAATGTTTAAAATAACTTTTTCCCCCCCAAGATAACATTTTATTTTGGGGGATAAGTCTGTTTTTGGAGGAGGCACAGGGTTGCAGATAAGAGTGAGTTGGCTGGGATTTGAGGCCTGCTGTGGTTTGAAAGTCTTGCAGAATTAACCCTGTTTTACCAACATCACGTTCTGTTGAGCCAATACAGAGATGATGATCTGGTATTCTAGTGATGTAGAATAAGAATTTTGGAAAGGGTGATTCATATAGGAAGTTAGGTCACTACTGGGTGAATCATTGATTTGGATCTTACAATCGGAGTAGAGGAAAGTTAGAAGTTTGTTGCTGCCTGTTTTATTAGGTGCCTTCACTCATTTTGTAGTAAGTGCTGTATTACACTTAAGTTTGTTGCTGGATATTTATTGTCATAAAGTGTAGTAAGGAAATAAAAATGGAACTTTGGCAAAGTTTGGATGTAGAATTGCTTGTTAGTTCCTAAGTGGATTGTTGTGAGTTTTACCCATATTTTGCCCAATGGGGAAGAGAAATGAAGGACTCTAGAAGCAACGTCAGGGAAAAGGAGAGCTACCTCTTTAAGGTAGGGACAAGTTCACTGAAAGGGTTTCACCCATTTTGCAAATCTATCCTTAAAAATGTGGAATGAGACTACACATTAGTGACTTCTTATTTAAGTTCTGGAATAGAAGAAAGTGTAGTGAAGTTGTCACTTATTATTGGAATGAATTCATTTAAAACTAGAAATAACTTTTTGTGCTGAAATGTAACTTGATCATTTTGGCTTTTAAAAAGCTGTTAAGCAAAATAACTTTGAATCACAGAGTTCTTGATACTCTTAGACTGTTTTCCTTTTCTTCTTTCTGCAATTCAGCTTATTTTACCTTGATTCTCATTTCTAAAGAACTTTAGTTATCTGTGATAAAGTAATGGTTAGTTTACCCTGTTGGTGTTGCTTACCAAATTCCTTTAATGCTTTGACGAAGTTTTGGCATCTTGTTTCCTAGATTATTGATCCTCAATTCAGAAAGTTCCCTAATGCTGCTTTTGATTTTTGTCTGGCCAACAGTGACATAAGAGTTTCAGTTCCCCTGATCAGAGACTCCCTTTTGGAAAATCCCTTGTGGAAACCACCGTCACGACCATCACTGATGGTCTGGGCAGGTAGATATTGAAGAGAAGCCTTCCTAGGTCAGGATTTAAGCATCTCTGTAATGAAGGAAAAAGCGACAGGGAGAATATATTTGACAAAGTAGATTCTTTCTCTCTGAAAACAAAAAACAAAAACAGATCTTTACTAGAAATGAGAGGGAGGGAGCAGTTTATCGCAAAGCCCTTTGTGAATTGGTTACCCTGCTCTTACTGTAAAAAGAAACAGAATTGCCAAAACCGGTTTGGCTCAGTGGATAGAGCATCGGCCTGGGGACTGAAAGGTCCCGGGTTCAATTCCGGTCAAGGGCATGTACCTTGGTTGCGGGCACATCCTCAGTAGGGGGTGTGCTAGAGGCAGTTGATGGATATTTCTCATCGGTGTTTCTACAATAATTCCCTATCCCTCTCTCTTCCTCTCTGCAAAAAATCAATAAAATATATTAAAAAATAAATAAATAAAAAGAAACAGAATTGATGATGGATAGAAAAAGAAAAAAAAATCTCCCTGCAGTGTGCTGGGAATGTTGATGAGGGTCACTTAAGAGGAAATAAATTCTTCTGTCCTCACCCTAGGATCACTGCACCTACAAAAGGCCCTTTCATAACCTTTTCCTTTTCGATAGTTGCTTTCTCTCTGGAGACTCTGAATGGAGAGATGGCCCTTTAACCAGGAAAACCTACTACCTTGTCTAGTTTGCATATAACGAATAGACTTTATGACCATCATTTCAGAACTTTTAAACTTCAGAGGAAGAAATTGAGAAAATTTACTCTGGGAATAAAATAACTGTCTATTTCCTCCATTTTCCCCTTTAAGATGATAGATAGGACACCTATGGAACTGATTAAATTTTTTTTTTTAATTTATTGATTTTAAAGAGAAAGAAGAAGGGGGACAAAGAGGGGAGGAACATTAACTTGTTGTTCCACCCATTTATGTAGTCATTGGTTGTTTCTTGTGTGCCCTGACTAGGGATCGAACCTGAAACCTTGGCATATCCAGATGGTGCTCTAACCAGCTGAACTCCTGAGCAGGGCAAAATGATTTTCTGTGTGTGTTGTCCATTGCACTTTCAAAACTTACTGGCCTATAATAAATTGGGCCAGACTTAAAATGAATCAAACAATGGGCTAAAAATTGGGTTTATCATGTTATAGTTTTTCATTTGTTCTATTATTTCTGTATTTTGGTGGGGGGACCAAGAGAATTCTAGTCTGTTTCTTTTAAAAATTAAAGAAAGACAAAACACACCCATATATTTGTATTGATTTCAGAGAGTGAAAAGAAGAGAGAGAGAGAAATATCAGTGATGAAACAGAATCATTGATCATCTACCTACTGCCCCTTACTGGGATCAAGCCCACAACCCTGGCATGTGCCCTGACTGGGAACTGTGACCTCCTGATTCATAGGTTGATGCTCAACCACTGAGCCACACTGGCCAGGCTATTCTGTTTCTTGAAGAAACTCTGAGATTTGTTGCATATGCATGCTTTTGTTTTGGCTTGTGTAGAGACAGCAGTAGATAAGAGTAGGAATGGTTAAGAAGAAGGAAAAAATGGCATACATGGAAGGAGAATGCTCATAATGGATTCAGTATATTTTTGTAGGACATTTTAAAATTGATAAAACATTTAAAAAGAAAACGTTATGTAGTGAAAAGGAAAACTCCTTTCTATGCTAAACTTTTCTCACTCCCCCACCCTCTAATCCAAGCAAACAGTATTAAAGGTATCCTGTGTACCCTTCTCCAAATTTTCTATTGCGTATGTAATCACATATGTTTAGGAGATATGTTCTACTCCTTTCATTCTTACCCTTGATATGTCTTAGAGCTCTTTCTATATTAGTATATATGTCTATCTGATTTTTTAAAACTTTTTTATTGAATTTATTGCGGTGACATTGGCTAATAAAATTGTATAAGTTTTGGGTGTACAATTCTATAATGCAACATCTGTACATTGTATTGTGTGTTCAGTACTCTTTAAGTTAAGTCTCTTTCCATCACCATTTATCCCTCCTATATCCTCTTCTATTTCAGCTGACCCACTTTCCCATCTGATTTTTTAAAAAGGCTGGATGTCCTGCCTAATGTAAATGGACCATAATTGATTAATTTTCCATAATTTATTTTGCCATTTTCTATTAAGAGGCATTTAGATTGTAGTTTTATACAAATGCCTCAATAGTGAACAACTCAATTATAAGTCTTTGTACTAGTCCATGAGTATTATATGGAATGTTTTCTGAAAGTGTGATTGCAGTATTGTGAAATTTAAAAGTTTATTTCAATCCTATCTTTGGCTTTATTTTATAATAGAAGTTAACTTATTTCTTAACCTTGAAGAGGGAGAAAGGAGCTCTTAATTACTTGTATTACTTATCCTTCTTTCCATTTAAAAAATATTGCAACTGTATTTTATAAGACAATTTAAAACATTTTAGAGTGACAGATGGTTCATTTTATTTGTCCTTGTCAGGGTAAATATACTATTACCAGTAGCTTAAGGACTGGTACTGTTCTGGACAAATCACTTCATTTATAATTGGTAATAGTTAAATGAATACTTTTTGTAGTAGGCTGATTGTTTTAGAATTTTATGACCAATATCGATGAAAAACATTGTATATAGTTTGACTTCTTGCCCTGCTGAAGTCTGCTACTATGTTGTTAGTCACGAGGGAAATAAATAAGCCAAGTCTTTTTCCTTTATCTTCTTCATTCCAGTGTATTCAAAATAAAACAAACCTCTGTGGAGTTTGAGATCTAAAAATCATTTTGCAAACCAGAGCGCTATTGGTGGGTTAATTTCCCAAGGCA